TGAATTGATGGATGGGTGGGTAGATGAGTGAATGGATGGATGGATGGGTAGATGGACTGGTGGGTGGATGGATGGATGGATAAGTGGATGGATGGTTGGGTGGATGGATGGATGGATGGGTGGACTGATCCATTGTCGGTGGGCCCTCCTCCACTAGACCAATGGCAGTGGGGATCTGGAAAGAGCTGGTGGCAGAAGCTGGCCCAGGAAGACAGAAGGCTGACCTGGTTTCCTGCCTTTGTTGGTCATCCAAAAATTAGGCCTGCAATTCCTTGGGCCTGCAGTTACCCTGGGAAACGAGAATGTGGGAGTTGTGTTGCCTTTTCATTCCATATAGCCCCTGAGTTTTTCCCAAAGGATTTTAATGTCTCTGGTCCCTGAGACTGAGCTCCTTCTCCTGGCACACTCTGCTGTCACTGTTGGGCCCACTGTGCCCTCCTGTGGGATGGGGCAGGCACAGGCCAGAGCTTTCTGCTGAGCCTCTCTCTGTCATACAGCACACCAGCACACAGAATTACTCTGAGTCCTGGAATAATCCTTGTTAAATATACATATTCCTCACAATCACCAGTATCATCATCCCTCTGGACAGATAAGGTGTGAGATTTAGTGTCCTGGGATGTGACTTCAAAGGATGGAACACAAGAAAGATCTCAAAATCTGTCAGTTCATTAGGGGATTGGAAAGACAAAGTGTTTGGCCGCCGTGCTGTCCTCGGAGGGAGCCAGAGCACCAAGTGGTTATTCGGAGCCCTGGGAAAGAAAAACACATTTATCAAGCTTTTCTGTACAAAGTGCACTTCACAGACCCACAGTGGACCCGGGAAAATTCGTCTTTAGAGCATCCCAACCCAGAAAGCAGAGGGAGAGCACGTTGGATATATGTAGGATGCAGCGTCCGGGGTCTGCTCCGTAGGAGGAGGACACCGGGTCCCACCTCGCCCGGCTCTGCGGACTCTGGGAAACGTATGTGATGTCCTGGGGTCTGGGCTCTCCTTTGTAGAAGGACAGAAGAAAGCCGGGCACCCTCGGTGCGCCCAAACCATAAGCCTCCCTCAGAAATGTGGCGTCACAGGCCACACAAACCCCCCTCCCCCGGGGAGGGAAGCTCTGTCCTCTCCAGAGAGACGCTGGCCCGGGCCTGTTGCCCTGGGATCAGGAGCAAGAACAGGGACATGGGGAGGTGGCAGCCCCAGGGGCAGCCAGGGGGCTGGAGGGCGCCCCCTCCCGTCTGGGCTCCACCAGGCTGAGAAGAGACGTCCCCAAACCAGGCCGTTGGCTAGGAAAAAGCCCAGGATCTCTGTAAGCCCAGCCCCATCCTTCCAGACCCAGATGGCTGACTGCTACCCCATCCATCAAACTCACTCTCAGGAACAGGGAAGATTCATTGTCCTGTGTCATCCGGGGCCACCCCGTGTCACCGTGTAATGGCTAGTCGGTCAGAGAAACAATAATTTTCATGCCATAAAAACTGAATTCCGTTTGTTCACTAAGAACGAATGCTGTTGATCAAGCGAAACCTATAAAAACCCCCGAGACAAAAGGCAAAGAATTAAGGCTGATGCGCCGACTGACAGGCCGTGATTAGCGCGTCCACGGCCAGGGCAAGGGCACAGCAGGCGAGGCGGGGGCCGGCGCGGGGGGCCGGGGCTAGAGCCTCAGCAGAGGAAGGCAGTCTGGGCATCTCCGGGAACACAGCTCGTCGATCCTCACACGGCCGCTGTCGGGCGTCTGGGAGGGGGCCGGTTGCGGCCTCGGCGCTCCTGGGAGGACGGTCCCGTCCCGGGCGGGTCTGGGACAGAACGGGATTGTGGGATGACTCCCCACCTCGTAACACGATGCTGGAGCTGCTGGCGGATGAACGTCAGCGGTATGAGGCTCTGAGAGGCCACACGTTGGAGGCAGTGTGAGCCAGACGGCCCTCGGCTAAGGGCGCGTCCCGAGTTGGGCCGCGGCGACGCCTGGACCCGCGACCAGGAGACGAACGCCTCTGCCTTGGCGCCCACGCCGCGCCGAGGGTCTGTGCAAGCGCCTCCCCCCGGGCGGCTTCGGCGGGCACGCGCTGGGAGGAGGCTCCCGGCCGCCCACCCCCCGACATTCGGCGGAGAACCACGTCGACGGCACACGTGTTGGGGACGAGGACGGGAACGTGGGGGCCGCAGGTGCAGGCCAGAGCGAGGACATGACCTTCTGCGCTGCTCACGGGGCAGGGTCCGCAGGAGCCGCAGGGACACGGAGGAAGCCAGTCCAAGCCACGGGGACCCGGGAAGGGGCCGCAAGCCCGACGCTGCCGCAGGGCCTGGGACAGCCCCCTGGCAGCAGGGGCTCCTTGGAGGACCATCTGAGCCCAGCCTCATTCTCACCCCAGCAACGCGGGAACCGGACACGGGCAGCAGGTGCCCAGCGGGTGTGGGGGGCCGGTGGCCCTTGAGACAGCGAGCAGACGGAAGGTTCTGCACCTGAGCCTCCGTCGTGCTCGGCAGCAAGAGGCCACGTCATAGCCCTGGGGGTGTGGTTAGCAACGTCATGGCCCCCCTTGCCAGATGGTGCCGTGTCACATTCCTGGTTCTACTGCTGCCCTACCACTCCGGGGACCAGGTGCGGCCACACAGGACCCCTGGGCGCCGTACGTATAATTTCCCATGCATGTGCAAGGATTTCAAAATAAAAGTGTGTACATATCTGTTCAAAGTGAGCTCTGCAGCCCTTAATCCTCTTCACACGGGGGCAAGGGGTTGGCGGACAGCCCTGGGTGTGTGGGGGGCGGTTCCTCACAGCAGGACCACCTCCCAACCCGGTCCCAAAAGCTCTGTCCCCAAACGGGCCCCTTCCAGGTTAGGATGCTGTGGGGGGGGGAGGGGTGCCTTCCAACACCCTCAATGTCTGCTCAGCACCCAAGAAGCCCCTCCAGGAGGTCAGCAGGCCCCAGCGCCCTTCGACAGCTGCCTGCTGAGAATCAGCGTCAGCACCGGCACCAGCACCCCGGCCCTCTGCACAGCACCCCGCCTTCTGAGGTGGTGGAGCAGACTCCCCAGGAGCAGGGGTGTGAGCTCACACTCTTCCGCACAGGCCGAGGGACCTCAGTGCGCTGTGCCCCACGACCTGGGAAGCAGGCACCTACCCTGCTCCCCGGGCCTGTGGGGCATCTGTTCACCAAGGGAAGCATTAGGGCGAGCATCCTGTGGACGTGACGTGGGCTGCCCACCTGCAGGGCCATGTGAGGACCAGGGGCCCGGAGCCAGATGGAAGCTGGCTCCAGGCGTGCCTGGAAGGCACCATCCCACAGAAGCTGTGTCCCGACGTGACTGGCCTCAAAGCACAGTGAGGGGCGAAGGCGATGAAACTTGCCTCACGCCCTCCCCAGGTGCCAACAGCAGATCCCTGTGTGCGAGCATCGGAGACATATCCACAGACCAAACGACTCCTTGCGAGAGGCTCTAGGTCCTGCAAGTGGGCCTCTTTAACCCAGAATCGCATGGTTTCCAGCATGGCCCTTGTCACGCTGCACCCACAGCTTGGACGAGCGGAACAGCTCTTGCCCCCCACACCCTCCGCTGTCCCCCTCCCTGCCAGCCAGGCCGCCGGTCTCACATGAGGTCAGCTCAGTGGGGGGTTGTCCCTCACACAACACCCCATCTTACAGTCTCCTGAATCCAGCCTCCTGCCTGCCCCAAATAGCACTGGATCGCTCCTAACTGAAATGATAGACAAGAACGGTTTTTACTTTTAATTACTGATAACAGGGCGACGTGCAGATATCAATAATGACGTCACATGAGCAGTAGCACGTTGCATTTACGTTTTATTTGTGTAGGCAGCACTGAAAATACATGAGGCCTTCATGGGCACATTTTCCACAATAAGCAGTAAACACCAGTCCACACCACCTCCCCAGCAAAGCCAAACAAAGCCAACTTCTCCACAACAGTCATCTTAAAGGCTGCACTCATTTCTGGCTCTCACGCCCATGACACGGCCACAGATGCAAGTCCCTGGCACCCCTCAATCCCACCCAGGCTCTGCCCGGGGCCCTCACTGCCGCGCCACGTGAGCACACACTCGTGTTGAGGCGGAGAACGGCCCGGGCAGGGCACATGCAAGGAAGGTTAAGGCAACGCAGGATCTAGTCAGTAACAGAGGGTTAAGAAACAGCTGATCATGCAAAGGCAGAAGCACAGGAAACCGCACAGAATCTTGCCAGGAAAAAAAAAAAAAAGTTTGCAAAGGAGACAATGTTTACAGATGGAAACATTTCCTCCCGCCTCCTTGTTCATATCTTCTTGCCAGAGTGTATGTGTGAACACCTCCTCTGTTCTTCCCAGCGTGACCCAAACTATGACCCAGAGATGGCATTTACCCAACAACATTCTGTAGGATCCCGTGTATGTGCTAAGAAGAATTAAGGGTCCAAGGAAAAAAAGATGGGATTTAGCAAAACTTAAACAATATTTGAAGTCAAGTTCAGGCTAGAGATTAAAACTACGATAAATATAAGGAATGACTTTACATCTAAAGTGATTCACCTCCGGGGCCCCCACGGATGTGGCCAGGCCACTCTGCAGAGCTGCTTGGAGGTCTAGCCCCGCCCCCTGGTCTGAAGGACGAGCACCCTGGAGGCTGTGACCCAGTGCACGATGCCGCTCGGTCACCCTGCCCTTAACTACGTGCTGGCTCCCAGAAATCTACCGCCATGAAGAAAGAAAGTCATTCCGAGAACACACACTCTGTTATCTGCCGGCACCTGTCACACCCCTAACGCTAGAAGTATCTCAGTAGTTGGTGTCACGTTGAGCAGCTGAAAAGAAGGCGCTGGGTCCTTAACCACCAGCGGAGACGAGATCAGATTTAGTGCCGGGAGAAGCGAGGGCAGTCCAGGCAGGCGCCACGCCTGTACCACCGCCACCCGCGACCGTCACTCCCATCTCCTGCCGTCCCTGCGCTGCCTGAGGCGTCCTCCGCATCCCCGTGCTGAGAAGGTGTGGTCTCGGGACAGGGGCAAAGCAGGTGCCGCTACCTAACGTGCGCACTACCACACGGAGCCGGCCTGGGCGCCGCCTCGGGCAGCGCGAGCGTGGCTGCAGTCCGTCTAGTGCTTGCCTTTGGTCGACTTCTTCTTCTTGGATTCCTCTCTCTGCTTCTGCTTCTTCCTCTTGCCACCTTCTTTGAATCCTAAGGAAACATGGCTCATGAAACACTGTGCAGAACAGTGGCTGCTTCCCCACTAAGAGGCAAACATGTTTCCAAATACTCCCCCGTGTTTAAAAAAAAGAAAAAAAAAAAAGACACAGTAAAGTCAGGTCTCTTCGCTTCTCTCCAGGCCACACCTGAAGTTCAACAAAACCACCAGCTGCCTCGTTCCACTGCACAGTGCAGCCTCTGACCCGATTCAAAGAGCACCACAGCCATGCAGGGGGCGGGCGTTCAGCCCACGCTCCCCTCTGCTCACCTTCGACAGCCCCACCCTGTGCCTCCACGAGACCCTGCACCCCTGCGCAGCCCCCGCAATCCACCGGGCAGGGCGGACTCCGCCCCAGGGATGGGGTCCCTGCAGCCCCGGCCAGACCAGAGTCCCGCCCGTAGAGGCAAGCCCGGCTGCGGGCTCATTTCCACGGGTTCCGGGCTGTTCATTCCCATTCCTCATCTAAGGATGAGAACCTTCCATTTTCCCTGTGCCGTGGACTTAACGTGTGCTTGGCTGAAGGTGAAGGAGAGACAGGTGAATGCACACTTCCTCACCCTCTGGAGAGCCCTGGCTTCGGCTCCGCAAAAATAACTCAGGACCTTGTGCGCAATTGGTCCAAACTATGTGGTGGAAGAACAGCAAACCGGCACACGGGCTGGACGCAGATTTCAGGTAACAAGGCTGTATTTAAATGGCCTGACTGGACAGGACGAGGGGCAGAACCAGCCCGGTCACTGTGGGACTGGGCCTTAACACACTCGGGCCCCTGAACCTGCCCAAAGACCATGTGAAAGCACTCTCGGGATTTTAAAGGACGCGGCCACATCCTGGAGCACCCTCTCCCATCCAGATGGGGCTGACGGTCTGTCAGCAGACGCCACAGGGGCACGACGCTCAACCTTCTGCAGAACCACAATCCCAGGCACGAGGGTCCTCTGTCAGTTAGATGGGGGCTGACAGCCAAGGCACAAGGAGCCCCCGACACCTGCCCCAGGCTTGGCTCATGGCCTCACCACCTGCTGCCAGGGCGATGCCTGTGAGGGCGGTCTGCTCACCCCTTGACAGCACTGAAGGAGACCACACGCGCCTCAGTAACACCAGGCCTCAGAGCCGCTTAGTCCTCACTCGAGTGACGCAGGAGGCTCTACGCTCCCCAGTCCTTCTCCGCCTTCCCCTGCAGCCTGTGCACCTGAGGTTCCACGCAACCTGCGTGTCTCACCTGGGGCTGTTACACCTGCCAGACACCCAGGGCCCTGTTTGTGTAGGAAGCTGCCTCGGAGTCTTCAATGGGAGGGAGAAGACAAAGGGCTAACCCACTTGGCAGGGCAAGGGTGAGGGCAGGCAGAGGGCTCACCCACAGCCGCACACGGAGGCAAATCCAGGGAACGGGCCCCAAAGGTCATGATCAAGGGGCGCGGCAGAGGGAGAACAGCCTCTGAGGCATCAAACAGGGAACCAGAGCTAGTCTGGGGAACGTGTCAGTGGGTCCGTTACTGGAGGTGATTACACGCAGGAGGCACAACGAGGTGACACCAAGATGGCCCCATTCGGTCCCAGGTGGGCCCCAGGCCGGCCATGAGTGGCCAGCAACGGCCAGTGGCTTCGAAGGAACACACGTGGGGTTCAGAGGCCTCACGTGTGATTGTCTGGAGGCTCGGCTGACTGTGGGCATCTCTTCTTAGAGGGGAGGACGGCCTCCCCTTCCCCACCAGACTCAATTACATGTAAAATAACCTGAGAAGAAAAAGAAAAACCTGCTAACCTACTACGGAGGAAGAGATCTTTCCTATCCCTGGGGCTCGAGACACCAGTCAGAGCAAGATGACAGAAGTCCCGTCCCCCCCTACGCTCCCTGTGCCGTCCAGGCAGGCTTTGCTCAGCTGCTGACTTCCAGGCTCGATGATGACAACCGAGCCTGAGGGAGCAGAAGGCCCCAGAGGAACACGGGGCGGCCATGGGGCCAGCTGCTGAGGCCTGACCCTCTCCTGCCTCCACCTGACCGCCGTGGCCACCACTGCAGTCATGAAATCCTAACACCTGACCCAGAAGGGGCCTTGGGCACACGCGGGGCAGAGCTGGGCTCGGTACTGCTGCGGCCCCAGCCCCTCGCCCAGAGAGCCCCTGCTGTCACAGCGCACCTCACTCCAAGTCCCCATTAACATGTCACTTCTACCACAAGGCTCTGTTAAGATGACAACAGAAAGGGCGCCTGGGTGGCTCAGTTGGTTAAGCGACTGCCTTCGGCTCAGGTCGTGGTCCTGGAGTCCCGGGATCGAGTCCCACATCGGGCTCCCTGCTCAGCGGGGAGTCTGCTTCTCCCTCTGACCCTCCCCCCTCGCATGTGCGCTCTTCTCTCTCTCATTCTCGCTCTCTCAAATAAATAAGTAAATAAAATCTTTTAAAAAAAAAGATGACAACAGAAAAATAACTTGGGACAAACTAAAGGAATTTCAGCACAAATGACAAGATTCTGGGGGTGCGGAGCTAGTGCCCCTGTGACCCAGCTGACATGTCCCACCCGTGCATCTGGTGCACGTGAGGGACACCGACCAGCCCGAGGCTACAGACCAGTCCCAAGGCCTCGCAGCCACAGGACCCTGCTCAGGCACTGGCCGCAACCACCCCTCCTGCCGATTGCCTCAAAGACAGGGGCCAACGGCAAGCAGAGCCGAGGTGCCTGGGGCTCTCCAGTCACTACGGAGGCAAGTTCCCAGAGCTGACCAAGAAAAACAAGTTTAATTTACCCCGACAGCCAAGTCTGTCTGCAGGAGCTCCAACACTGGAGGGAGCCAAGGGCCTGGTGCTCGGACAGGGGGCCCAGGGCAGAGGCTCCACAGGGACCGGCCGTGGGGGCCACTAAAAGCATGCGACCCCATTCCCAGGTCTCCCTGACCCCGCCCCAAGCCACACCTGTGGCACAAACCTCGAGGGGTATCCAAACCAACCCAAATCTACCTACTCTGTCACAGGGCAGGGCAGCAGCAAAGCAAGTTTTCACCAAGGCCTCCCCGCCAAAGACAAAGCAGTAGCGTGATTATGGGGACAGAGACACCTTTCGGATGATGAGGATCTAAAGCTGCAGGACAATAGGGTGGCAGCGCGGGGCCGGGACTCTGAAGAGCCCTGGGACTTAGAGGTCGACACCCGGGTCACATCCAGGTGAGGCGGGCGCTGCTGGGCTCCGCGGGGCGGAGGGCACAATGGGGTCCACAGTAAAGCAGAATCACCGGGATAGTCTCTGGGAAAATATCTGTGTTCTGGGACAAAGCATACGAGGGAAAGGGGGCTGCCCGCCACCTGGAGTTCCTGCACGGCTGGTGCATTCACAGAACAGCCGCCCGGCCATGTCCGCGCCTCCTCGCTGGTCGGACACCCCTCACCAGTACCACCAGGCGGGCTTCGGCCAGGCCGGACGGCTCACACCAAGGATCCCTCATGGAAGGAAACGTTTTAAAGCCCCGTGAGTTCTTAGCAGAGAAGCATGTTAGGTACATAAATTAGTATCATTAAAAAGACCGACTTAAAAAGCTGCCCAAAGCGGCCGGCAGCGTGGGACGCCACGCAGCTGAGCCTCTGCACCATGCTGCGCTCCACAAGGCCAAGCGCCCCACAGCAGGCCTGGCTCACGCGCTTCCTTCAAACCCCATGCATAGAAAAAACAAAGCTAAAGGATCAATTCTATTCTTTTAGTTGTGAATTCTTCTTCATGTTGAGTACCTTTAATTTTCCTTCTCAACAGTTCCATGTTCCTGATGCACCGTCTGTGCGGGGTCCACACATGAAAAGCACGAACCCTCTCTCAACACTGGACTCTGACCGTGTCCAGGTGACGCACGGTGTGCGACCCCAACAGCGCAGCAGGTGGGCGGGACAGTTGGCCAGGAACACAGCGCAGTGGCCCGTGAACGGCCACACCAGCCAGTCAAGACCACGCTGCCTGCCACCAACTCCTGCACCGCGGTGGCCAACCCACCCAACACCCGCCCGCCCCCCCGCCCCCGCCGCCCCGAGCAGAGACACCACTGCTCCCCACGCTGCACTGGGACCCTGACCTGGATCCCGAGTCTTTCGGCTGTGTCGGCCACATGGGAAACCCTCCCAGAAGCAATCAACTCAGAGTCCAGAGGAGCACAGCTGAGGTGAGAATGCACCATCAGCCCAGAATAATCGCTTCCCAGAGCTGCCAGGCCGCCTCCATGCCACACGGCCAACGGCAGGCTCCCAGGGGCCACTCCATCTAGTGGCTGTTCCGGTGTGGAGGCGCCCAGGGACCAAGTTCCTTCCTGTGCGCATGTTCTTAAGAAGAATCACTTGGAAACGCGGCCCAAAGCCGCCACGCAGCGCCTCCAGACTACACGGGAGCACACAGGCTGTCTGGCCCAGGGGCGGTGTCCAGGTGTCCCCAGACAAGGGTTCGTGCGGAGCTCCAGGGAGTCTGCTGGGGGGAGCCCGAGCCCCCCTTTATTACTGGCTGGCACCCGGATCTGCAACAGTGGACCAAGAGCTGGAAATGGTTTGTGCAGGGAACTGAAGCCTTCTGTTGGCAGGAAGGAGACCCTGAAGGTGATGGTCTGACTAACCTGGAGGATGTTCACCAGCTTTGTATCCAAATTTGCGATTTTGTGCCACATTCTTTTCTCACTTAGTCTGTTAACTCTTCCTTTGGGGCAGCTTAGAAAGTCAACCGAAGTGTCTGGCACAAGCTCACAATACATCTGTATGAAATTCAGGTCTTTAATTTCTTGTGACTTAACCCTGACGCTCTTTTCAAGACCCCATTACTCATGGTGACTCAACAGCATCAGAACCCCACCCCCCGGAAGGTGTTCTGGCTGTCCCAACCCCACCAGGGAGGGGCTATGCTCCAGGAATACAAGGCAAGCCTTTCAGCCTCCCAACAGCCAAGGAAAGGGGGCTGGATGTCCGTCCCCCGCTTCTTTTGTCTAAGACTTGTGCCAGGGTCAAAAACATGCCTGGACGGGACCTGATGGTAAAAACTGACAAAACCATGAGATTTCAGGGAGAAGAATGAAAAACGCTAGTATCCCAGGATTCTCCAGCAGGGCTAATTTATTCTGTACTTGGCAGGTGTAGTCTCCGAGGATCTAGAGCAAACAAGCAGCTTCGCCTGGGAAGCATGGGTCTCACTCTGAACTTGCGATCTGCCCTTCGGACCCGCTCTGCTGGTGATGGTCCCACATCCTGCCCCAGGAGCCTGGCTGCCTGGCGAATAAGACTCCACCAGGGAGGCCCATCTCTGCACACCTGATTCTTGGGAACTGGGATATTCCAACCCAGTACATAGGTTTATGGGGTCCTTCCAACCAGACAGACATAGCTCCTTAAAAATCACTGTTCAGGGGCGCCTGGGTGGCTCAGTCGTTAAGCGTCTGCCTTCGGCTCAGGTCACGATCCCGGGGTCCTGGGATCGAGTCCTGCATCGGGCTCCCTGCTCCTCGGGAGCCTGTTTCTCCCTCTGCTTCTCTCTCTCTCTCTCTCTCTCTCTCTCTCTCCGTCTCTCATGAATAAACAAAATCTTAAAAAACATATATATATTAAAAAAAAAAAATCACTGTTCAAACAGTGATCTGTTCAAGCAAACTGAGTCTACAACCCTGCCCCCTGCCACAGCCCCTGACTACCACACTGCCCGCTGTCCAAAGACCACTCGGTACCAAGAGCTGACAATCGATGCTAGGAAAATGTCCACATGCTCTCAAGGAAGAATGAGTTCTTTCTGAATCCATACAGCTCTTCCAATTCTCTCCATTTTTCATTCAATTACTTGGAAAAGGCTAACGTCTCCCAACGGTCCATCTCTTTGTGTTAGCACCACTCCGGGCCAGAGCTGGGGGCGTGCGCACAACCCCGTGTACACTCTCTGCTGTGCTTCGAAGCCCCAGGACACCCATGGTCAAGTGAGTGCCACATTCCTTCTGTCCTCTGCAAAACCCTACCAAGCACCTCCGCTTGATCTGAGGACGACCAGAAGGAGCTGCGAGGGACCAACTGCCCGATAGAAAGTTCTGGGGCAGGAAGGGGCCCAACCTCATCCTTCTAATGCCCGACTGCGATGGTGTGTTCTGTGGAGGCCCACAGAATGAGCCTCGCACGTACCCTGACGACACCCTGACACAGGGGACCGAGGACGGATGTCTTCGTCTACCACATAGCACGCTGCGGGCACCGTGGCGGCTCCCGGTGGCGACAACCAGGATGGGCACAAATGTGTCACACGAATGAATAATTCAAACTCATCTGACACCGGGCCTGCAGAATGCAGGTCAAAGCTATGGCACAGACATCTCTCAGGAATGACCCAGAACTTTCTATGGGGAATTCCCTTCAAAGATCCATCTGGGCTCCATTAGAAATTACAAGCCAAGAAGCTGGAGGAAGGCAGAGCCAGGGCTCTAGAGCAATGGGGTCGTGATCACCCAGCGCGTCAGAGGCCACAGAGGAAACACTACAGCTCCACCTGGGAGGAAGGCGGCACAAGGTGTCCAGGAGGGGTGCTCCGTTCTATTTTTAACCAAGCGCAAGTGAAGGCACAAGGGCCAGGAAGCAAATGCAAAACATTCCATCACCAAGACTGCAAGGGGCCCATCGTTCAGTGAGCGGCTCGGAGCATGTGGCCCGTCCAAGTTGCAAGAGCTCAAGCACTAAGTGCAAAGTGACAAAAAGAAACATTCCAAGTAGAAGCGGCACCTGTCATCCTCTGCCCAAGACAACACACTGCATACCACTGTGGAACACTGGCACCCCGTTTTAATCGGGGGATCTCACGGGAGGGGAGCCGAGAGCAAGGGGCCTCCTCCCGCCGCCACCATGCTCTGAGAAGCCTCTCGCGGGCCCCCGCCCAGCCCCGCCCAGCTCAGGTCAGGACACAACAGCACAGGAGTGATTTAGGTCCTCTCTGGTCTCGGGAGGGAAGGTAGCCGTCCCCTCGGGGAAGCTCCGCGTCGGTTCCCTTTTGCACACCTGCACAGAGCACGGAGGGGTCCCAGGGGCTGCTGGTGGCCCGCTGGCTGCCTGGCTCGTCCTCCTCTTCACGCGTGTGGAGAGACTCAGGTTTGGGCAGGGAGGCCGGCCTGTGTGGCCTCGGTGAGTGGCCGCTGGTGCTGGCGGGCTGGGCGGGCAGCGCACTCTGGCCTCTGCGCCGGCACTCCTCCAGGAGAGCGTCCTCATCGGCCACACCTGCAAGCACAGGACGGGGCGGGCGTGAGCTCGCACTGCTCCTCTCTCCACCCCGGCACGCAGCACCTGCCCTGGGGGCCCCCACTCCCCTGCAGGAGGAGAAGGAAGATGCTGAGTCCACCACCTGTGCTATCAGGGCCTGACCTTAACCTTCAGAGACGGGGCTGTGGCCAGGCCCGGGACACAGCTGCTCGTACACGCCCCTGCGCGTGCGCGCGCGCACACACACACACACACACACACACACACACACACACACACACGACTTCACGCGTTGTCAGAAGCACATGTCCTACTGAAATCCGTCAGGGGCCAGACTGCCCATGAAAATTTGTCAAAACTGACCAGTGGTTATCACCCTGCAAGGAAAGGGCTCCAGATGCTGCCTCCCATCCCGTTCATGGGCAGCCTGAATTCTAGAACCTGTCCATCTAAGGGGGGGAGGGGTTGGCTGGCTGGGAGGTGGGGGCCTGATGGCCCGTTTCCCTGCCCGCGCGGGTCGTCTGTCACCCCAGAGACACATCCAAGATGGGACAGTCCTCACTGCTCTCAACGCTGTGTGTCTACTGGTCTTTAGAAAACAGAAAGCAGTTTTCCACATTAAACACTAGGAACTAAGTCAGAAAACAAGTTATAATTGTCACTGAATGATCTCAAATTTCACTCTCTGAAGGCTCTTGATGACCAGGTGCGCAGGTTGAGAGAAAGGTGTCATATGAAGGCAGCAGCAATGCTGTCACACCCCCATCTCAGGGAACAATGGGCCCAAGGGCGCTCCCCAAGCCTCGTACCCACCCTGCCCCGTGGAGGGAGGTGGGGGCGTCCGCTATACAGGGCGCAACAGTCATCAGACGCCCAGCCAGCCAGCCCACAGAACCCGAGCCCCAAGAAGTGCACTGAGAGGCCACCTCCCTCCAAGCATGACCTCCAGCGTGGCACGGAGCGTGGACTGTCCCGTTCCCGCCTTCCCCGTCGGAGCCCCAGCTCCCAACGTTCCTGAAATGCAGACGAGTTTTTACCACACAGGTGTCGGCATACGGCTCATTCACACCAGGTGCGAGGCTCAGCGCGGGGAAGGCAGCGCCCACCTAGATTACTCTGGAGGGCGTGAAAGCACTTCTCACCGGTCAACTTCCGAGCCACAAGCACTGGCCCCAAGCCCTGGTGTGACCTCTGCCCTCGCATCAGAGCGCCGGCCACTGGAATCACGGCCACACTGGTGAGAGGCGGCGGGCTCCATGGTCCCAGCACCCACACCAAGCTCGGAAACTACTGGAGAAATAGGAAGTCCTGGGGCAGCCTGCATCATGCGACTGGCATTTTAGAGGTTTTCCAAAGTGAGTCTCAGGTTCCTCAGAGAGCCTCTGAAAATCCCCCACAGCTCCGGACACCCTGGGCCCAACACATGTGCTCCGGGCTTTCTGGCACTTGGACCCCCCACCAGCCCCGCAGCGAGGCTGGGCTAAGGGCCAGCGTCCTGTTCTCTCCCAGCTACCATGCACGTGTCCCACGTGTTGGCCGAAACGGAAATGTTAGTTTTGGAGCCGTTTAACCAGGCAGACCATCACGGGGGGAGGGAATGCTCGGCGGTCCCATGCACGTGGCCTGGACAGACGTTTTCACTTTTTTCTTAATTTTATTTATTTATTTGAGAGAGAGAAAGAGAGAGAGCACATGAGAGGGGGGAGGGTCAGAGGGAGAAGCAGACTCCCCGCTGAGCAGGGAGCCCGATGCGGGACTCGATCCCGGGACTCCAGGATCATGACCTGAGCCGAAGGCAGTCGCCAACCAACTGAGCCACCCAGGCGCCCAGGACAGACGTTTTCAGTGAGGACCTCGGACCCACTGAGGGTTTCTCAGAATCAAATCCAATGACTGAGAGAACACGGATACCCCAGGCCTGGCAGGCACATCCCCTCTGGGGCAGGTGCCTCAGCCAAGGACCACCCCGTGTCTGCAGCAGGAAGGCGCCCATGCGCGGGGCCAAGGTCGAGGTTGGGGGAGCACTCGAGGGAAGCCCATCTCTTGGGGGGGGTCTGTGGTCTGATTATGTGGCCTTGTGTTGTTTTTGGCAAATAAAACACAAGTACGACTCCCAAATACATGGTGTAGGTGCCAAGGAGCTGGCGATGAGTAGTAACCGCTACATGGTGACCTGACTTCAAAGCCTGCATTTGCAGTGGGGAGTGGAGAAGGGCAGGGAGCCAGGACCTCGGTGTCTGCAGGCGCCTCGGCTGCAAGCCGTGCTCAGGGAGGGGCCTGTGGCCGTGGCACCCGAGCTCACACCACGACCAGCTTTGTGCCCTGAACGTCAAGGCACATGCTCAGCTTCTCTCCACCTTGGAAGGAGGCAGGAAACCTGCGAGGGCAAACGGGCCGCCCCTCCGGGCCCCACACCATCACACCTTGTAATCAACAGTGATCACAGCAGAAAATGTCGGCACAAGTTCAGAACATGGTCAGTACCTCTCCATGTGGGCTTGGCTTCGTGAGTGGCTGGCGGAGGAGGACGGGGGCCCGTGGGGGGAGTCGCACCCTTCCCAGCTTACTTACCCCAAAAGTTCAGGAACACTCGGATCCGAGTCTCTCCCCGCCAGCCGTTCCGGCACAGGCCGGAGAGGAGGTGGCCTTTTCCCTGCCACCTCCACAAGCACCTGCAGCCACCGCGGCCAAGGATCACCCCCCACAGAAGAGCAGGGAGCTGGTCTGAGCGCAGACCACTGGCCTCGCTTCCGTCACTTACGGTGCAGAGAAGGTGGGCGTCTGCTGCTGGACACAGGCCCCCACAAGCTGGAAGGCCGCCACGGGGCCACACGAGCCACTGTGTGGGAAAGCAGCACCAGGCCTGGGCCGTCCTGCCCGTCACCGGTTCTCGCTGCACTAAACCACCTGCTCGCCCCAGGCCCAGGACGGGCACATACACCAGCTTCCAGGGCCGCATCGTGTCGGGGGTTTGCTGTGTGGTGAGAAACCAGAAGCCTCGGGGCGCCTGGGTGGCTCAGTCGTTAAGCGTCTGAGTCCTGGGATCGAGCCCCACATGGGGCTCCCTGCTCGGCAGGAAGCCTGCTTCTCCCTCTCCCACTCCCCCTGCTTGTGTCCCCTCTCTCGCTGGGTCTCTGTCAAATAAATAAAATCTTTTAAAAAAAAAAAGGAAACCAGAAGCCTCTAAGATGTTAAGCTCGATATTCTGAGAATGCCTTGAATATGCAGAGACCGAAAGCAGGTGCACGTTGAAGGTTTCTGTCCGCTCCAGACTCTGGGCGAAGGTGCCGCGTCTCCCACGCCTCTCGGATCCAGACACACTCAGGGCACAAGAGGCAAGCACGTCCCTGCCTCCAGGACTGCACAGGAAGCCGGAGTCCTGCAGGGGCTCCCAGGCCCCAAGCGCCCAAGCCTGCCCACCGGCTCCGACCAGAGGCTCAGTGCCTGTCCTCCCCACACCCAACCTCCTGGGCAAACCCTAGTGCTGCTGCAGCTCAGACCTCTCGCCCATGAGGCTCCTTCCCTCGAGCCCCGCTGCAGAGGCCCTGCAGCAGGAACTACCACGCCATCAGGGTGGGTGGCTGGGGCTGAGCACTAGGCTGTCGGGTCCACAGTGCCCCTTTCAGAAATAGAGGAAGGACACACAGCTGAGCACCTACTGTCCCACACATCGTTCTCTTCCTGATACACACAGTCGACCCTTACAGGGGACACAGTGACCTGTGTGCTCCCCCAGGCCCGCCATGCCACTGAGAGCTCCTTGGGTCTGGCGCAGGGGCAATCAGGTCACTGACCCCACAGAGTTCCCACAAAACTTAACAGTATCTCAAGAACCAGGAAAAATGATTCAGGGAAAGGAGATAAAGGACAGAAATGAGAAGCAAAGATTAAATCGCGGTCTTGCCCCAAATCTTCACTGGATACTTTCTGCAAGGCCTCAGTCCACACGTGCGCATTCAAGCACTCAGAGTCCACTACATGTGCGGTATGCTTGCAGGCGTTGACAAGGTTACGAAATGGGGCCACCACCCTCACCCTGATGGTAGCACGTATGCCCAAGTTTGAGGAAAGGGATGCAAGTGCTGGTTTTAAGAAGAACGCGGGTTATGATGGACTGGACCGTTTGGAGCCCCAGGGCAACGCCATCGCTTCCGTGGCAGAGCCTCTGGTCCTCACCGCAAGGCGGGAAGCCTGCCTGCGCCCCCCAGGCTGAGCACCGGGCTGTGGACTCCACGTGCCAGGACCTGAGCCGCCCCCCACTGCTCCCCCCACCGCGGCAGAGGCTCGGGGAGGGGGAGGGGGAGGGGGAAGGGGAAGGGACTCGACATGAGGAGAGGGAGGAGCATCTGGACCAAGGACGGCCCGCACCCTGTCTCAGAATGGACTGCGGCACAAAGGGGCGGGTCAACCGGTCGTCAGGACCCACTGCTCCTGCCTCGTGGTGACGAAAGAGGGAGCTTGTGTGGGGGGTGAGCACCGCAGGATCGGAACTGGCTTTACCTCACCTCAACTGCAGAGCAGTCTTACCAACCTTCCGGAGCACCAGATTCCGCGCCCCACCCCCCCCTCCCCCCCCCCCCCCCCAAGCCCTTTGTTCAGAGCCTCTTTGTTCTGCCTTCGGTTCCCACCAAAGCCCCGGGACGCGGCAGTGCCAGGTCGGGAGCATTCCCACTGCCAGGTCAGGGCCGCGCCGCTGGGCGAGAGCGTCTGCGGGGAACTCACCCAAGCAACACCCACCAGCACCTCACGAAGCCACAGGGTGCCTGGGTGCCCGGCGTGACTTACAACTTTCTGAATTAAAACCAGACTGACCACGGCCGCCCCTACCTCATCCCCTACACCCTACGTCACACTTTGGGAAGTCGCAGTTTACTGCTTTTTACGGCCTTTTCCAAAGGTTCAGTACAACTTCACGAATTACTAGACCCTTGCTCTGCTATGGCATTTCCCACTGTTTCAACAATTTGAGTTGACCGCTTCGTATTGTATGAAGGTAATACAAAATACAAATACCTGGA